TATTTCCTAGCTAAGTTTACTTCACCCCTATGAACTTTAAAATCAATTTGCTAATGCAAAAAAAAAAAAAAAAAAATCCTCTTAGTGTTTTGGGGGGATCGCAGTAAGAAATTCAAAGGTTATCTTGAAGAAAACTTGCTGAAATGCAGATGTTTTTATCTTATAGAGATATAAATTATTTCTGTGCAGTAGAATAGATAACCCAAAGGTTATGGTCTGATTCCCCAGTAGGGAATTGCATTAGTTATCTACTGTGTAACAGAATATCCTAAAAATAGCTTAAAACAACAATAAGCATCTATTACTATAATGGTTCCTGTGGATCAGGAATTCATTAAATGAATGGACTAATTCATTTCTTGGAGAAGCTGTTTTCATGTGCCCTGTAGCATGCTTGTTTGTGGCGGGTTTTTTTTTTTCAGGCAAGAGGTCTTCTGACATTTGTTTAACTGCCCTTTTTTTCTCTACTCTGCCCTGGGTTTTGTTCTGTCTTAACTCTAATTTTGAGCTTCTACCCAAACTCTGGGAAGTTCATTGAGAGAAGGCGNCCCTTTTTTTCTCTACTCTGCCCTGGGTTTTGTTCTGTCTTAACTCTAATTTTGAGCTTCTACCCAAACTCTGTGGGAAGTTCATTGAGAGAAGGCAGCCCGGATAGGGCCTCAGGCCAAGCGAGACGAGCCTTACGCCGGTCTGCACGCCAGTTCAGTCGGCCTTCACCTCTGGCGAGGATTGGCAAGTGCAGGAACATTTTTTCCCACCGAAAGGACGAGCCGCACTCTACTATCCTGGAGACAGATCCCTTCTTCCAAATTTTCCCTGACTGTGCGCTCCGACTCTGCTTCTCAGAACCCAGCCGGGCCGGGAGGAGCTGCGGCCCCGGGTGTCCCTGCCTTCTGCGGGCGAGGGGACCGAGGGACGCGCTCCAGCCTGCGCCCTGTCGCTCTGAGGAGGGTACTTGCTGCTCCGCGGCTCCTGTTCGCTGTGTTGCAGTCAAGGAACCCGCTCCGCTCCTGCAGTTCCCCAGGCCCTGCTGCGGGCCTCCCTGGGCCATCTCGGCCACCTCGGGCCATTTTCCCTCCATCACACCCAGGGGGCCAGGTCTCCCCTAGTTTCCCTGCAAATGGAATTTGTCTTCTGTTTTTCATTCTCACTGTTGCTTTTTAAATAATTTCCAGTCAGAAAAGAATTAATGATTTTTTTCCTGAGCTTTGTTTTAAACTACAAAGCTTCAGAAAAGTTTAAAAAAATAGTGCAATGAATATCCATGTACCTGTCACCTAGATTCACAGCTGTCAACATCTTGCCGCATTTGCTCTCTCTCTCTACATAAAAACTTTTCTTTTAAAAGGAACCATTTGAAAGTAAATTACAGAGACTGACGCTTCATCCCTAACTACATCAGCAGGCATTTCCTAAAAAAAAAAAAGAGACATTCTCTTGAATAACCCTAAAATCACTATCAATGGAAGTAAATTAATATTCATTCAATATGTCGTTTAACGTATAGTCCATATTTAGATTTCCCCGATTGCTCCCCCACAGTGTCTGCTTTATTTATTTTTCGACCCAGATTCCAATCAAGGTTTACAGTTGCACTGAGTGGTTGTTTCATTTGATTCCTGTGTTTTACCTGATCCCAAACTGTTCCTCCCTTCCCTTTTCTGGTTTCTATGACATTTTATTTTCGAAGGGCTCGGGTCAGCTGCCTGGGTTTTGCTCTCTCTCCTTGTGCTATTATATATAAACTGCAAGTCACTGAATGTGAAGTCCAACGTACTTGCCATTAACATTTTAAAAAAGAAAATTAACTAAATATTTTTGTTTGAGGCCCAGCTACTCTCTGGACTTCAGCAGGCAGGTTTGGGATGCAGTCCGAGAAAGCTATTTCCTGATGAGCCTTAAATTCCAAGGAGCTTCCTAACATTATCACCTTGAGTGGCTGTAAAATAAATGACGTACCTTTTATTTTAAAAGTTAATTTCTGCGTTCTTCTTGTCTCCCTGTAGTAAACTAAGTTCTTTCAAGAGCTGGCCTTTTTTTTTTTTTTTTTTAATATACCTTTATTGATTTCAGAGAGAGGAAGGGAGAGGGAGAGCGAGAGAGACACAAATGATGAGAGAGGCATTGACAGGCTGCCTCCTGCTCGCCCCCGACTGGGGATCGAGCCCGCAACCCGGGCATGTGCCCTGACCGGGAATCGAACCCCGATCGCCTGGATCCTAGGTCGATGCTCAACCGCTGAGCCATACCCAGCTGGGCTTAAGAGCTGGCCTCTTAACCAGGTTTATATTTTGCCCTATTTTTCTCGAAACTCATTGATGTTTTACCCATTTGGTTTCTTTAGCTTGCCTACCTATTTTCAAACAGCAAGAATAACTGATGTTAGAAAACAGACCAGAACTAGCTCCACACACTCATAGTGCCAGGAGTAAGAAAAACTCCTCTGAATACTTTTCATGTATACTTCTTTGTTTAAATAAGCCTTATTTCACACAAAACTTAGTTCAATGTTGTATTTAGAGCCTCCAAAGTACGCAGCCATGTGTCACAGAGTCTGAGATCTGGAAGGCAATTTTAGAGTAGAGCCCTGCTTAATTGCAAAACAGCATTCACTCACTTAAAAGGTCTTCGCAATGTACTTTTACATGTATCATTCGACAAGATCTTTAGAACAACTCTATGAGGTAGTTGAGGAAGGTGGTGGAATCTCTCTTCTTCAGATCAGGAAATTGAAGCTCAAATAGATGTACATGACTTGCCCAGGATCTCATGACTCTAACGGACAAAGACGGAATTTAAATCTGGTTGCGGATTGCATGCCGAAGATATATTGTGGTAATCTCATTTGACTGGAATGACCTCCTCAGTCATTCTAGAGTCTTGTATATTTTGGCAAAACCAGTGTGTTTATCTTAGGAATACCACGCTCCTACCATCATTAACAGCTCTCCTCTGTAGGAGTCCTGCATTATTAAACAGCAGACCCTTCTGACTTTTGGACTGTTACCATCAAAATCTGGGAACATTATTGCTCCAGGAGACAGCCACTCAACCTAAGTCTTTCAAAACGCATCAACCCAATTTGTACACCCTTCCATGAAGACTCAGTTGCATCATCTAACATGTCCTCTCCTGGTACCTTGTAATGTTCACTGTTAAGAGTTTTGTTTTTGCTCTTCACCTAAAAGGTGGCCATGATCATCAAAACCATAAAGGACAGTCTGGGGGAATATCTTTCTGCTTCACCACTGGTTTGCCTATTTTGCTCATTTGCTGATTATGGGAAATTGACAGATTGGAAACATCACAGTCCCCATTGGTTGTGCATAAATGATGTAATCAAAATTATAAAGATGTTCATTATGGACTCAGATTTATACAAATAATAATAGTGTTTGTGTGTATATTTATATACATATACACACACGTTTATTTTATTTTATTTATTTTATTTTATTTTCTGTTTGTGTTTGTTTTTTACTCAAGGTACATTGAGTATCTTTGTCATAGGAAGACTGACAATGTAAAATTCTTCTTATATGTGATACTCAAAATTAGCACCCACTGAGTGGCAAGTGATACCACTGCTCTGAAAAGAAAACGAACAGTAGAACATTTATTAACAAGTTTCTTCCTGAATTTTCTTAAATTAAAAAAACACACACACACAAGAAAGGTTGCTTGTACTTAAATTGCCAGTTTCTGTTTTTAATTTTGTTAACATGTATTTCATTGCATTTATGAATAGGAATAGATAGTATATATATACAGAACCAACACTTGGGGGTGGCGGTTTGCCTTCTGTGGTGCTTCCATATGGTTAAGTGAGTTCTCTCATTACGTGGCTTAGTCACAGCTCCCTCAACGAATAACTTCATTTAATTTTCAATATTTCTGCAAATTGATCTCTGAGCCACACAATTAAGTCAGTTCTAGCAAATTTGGAACTGTATTTTAAGCAACCAGCTTGCTTTAATGCCCACAGGCTCTCAGCTTCTGAGGGTAGAGACCAAGTATTTGCTTGTCTTTGGGCATCTAACACGGGACCTGCCCAGAGCAGGTGCTCAACAAATGTTTGCTGAGCAGAACTGCCCTCAATGACCTAATGGGAAAAGAGAAGGAAGGCATTTCTTTGCTGAAGTCACTGCCCCAAATAGAAATGAACTCAACCTTACGTGGTATATACACTTAAACTCCCAAATGTAGACCAGGGCCGCTCTGGTGCACCTCTGTGGGTAGTTGCTGACTGGTCACTCGATAGCAGGTCATTGTCCTGATCCACAGGCTCAATCCCATCTCTACTTTTGAACATCTTGAACCAAGTGCTCTCTCCTCTCATCATGCAACAAATAGGCACACATGTAGTTATTTTGGGCCAAAGGAAGATATTAAAAGTATTGATACTTTAGTATTTTTAATGAAATATTGTTTTTCAAGGGTGGTTTGTGATGATTTGCTTTCTGTGACTGTTCAGTCATGGATGGCAATTTCTTAGGAAGAGCACAAGGGTTCTCTTTCACATCCCCCAAGTTGTCTTTTTTAACAAACAAAATACTTAGAGCTATTTTGAGTTTTTAAAAATTGCTGGTTGTTTTGCATTTCACTAAATGGTTTGTTTTTCCTTCTAAATTTTATCCCCAAAGACTTAAATTTATTTTTTAATTGTTATTCACATTTCCTTTTTTAAAATTTAAAAAAAAATTTTATATAATTTTATTGATTTCAAAGAGAGGAAGGGAGAGAGAGAGAGAAACATCAATGATGAGAGAGTCCTTGATCGGCTGCCTCCTGCACGCCGCCTACTGGGGATGGAGCCTGCAACCCGGAGAATCGAACCTGGAATCGAACGATGATCTCCTGGGTCCTAGGTTGACGCTCAATCGCTGAGCCACACTGGCTGGGCCACATTTCCTAATAGCAGCCTTAATAGAAGTCTTAAGAAAGATGGCTAACCCTAGTCAAGTGAGACAAGGAGAGTTAATTTTCAAATTATAATATTCATAATTTACGGCAATTATAAATATTAGGAGAGTTCTCATGGCGTGTTAACAGCTTCCTACTGATGTAGAATTGTAAGACTTACGTGATATATAAATGTGTGACTTATTACACATCCTAATAGCAACCATGTGATAAAAACAGTGTAAACAACGTCTCCTTGCAACAGGTGGTCATGAGAAGAATCACCGCATTCCAGGGTCTGAAGAGCGCTCCTGCCTCTCAAGAAAATGTGAAGTCCTGGTCCCATCCAAAAAGCATACAGAAAACCCTCAAAATCAACTTCTCATTAAACATCCCCCCTCAAAAAGTTGATAAAAATACTGAAATAATAGTCTCACAGAAAAAGCAAAGTCTGAGTTCAGAGAGTATCAAGTACATGCAGAAAACTTTCATTTCACCCGCATACGAATGGCTCCAGAGAAAGACGCGAGGAAACACCAACCGCGTAGCGCAGTCTTCGTGGCACCTGACTAGGGCCGGGCGAGGAGGAAATAAATAGTTCGTAGGGCGCATCCTCGGCCCCGCAGTCCAATCAGGGCGATCCCACGGTGTCACAAAGCAGCAAACGTCCAGATATCTTTCCAGGTCACTTCCCGAGAGGTGGGCTGTTTCCCCGAGCTTGTCACCTCGCTCCTTCTAAAGGTCAGTGTTCTTGCCTTTGGTGTCCCCGGCCCGAAGTCAGCCATCCTGCAACACAAATGAGAACCTCATGCACGGCTGAGCCTCACTCAACAGAAGGAGAGGGTTCCTAGAATGCTGCTGATTTGCGGGAACATCTCAGAGGATCGGTACCTGTACTCTCACGATTGAGAGGGGATTAAAAGATCACGATTCCACCCAGCACGTGAAATCGTAAGGCTCCCACGCTGAGGCCCCCACCGGTAAGGATGCCCCCTGCACTCCCCCAAAGTGTGCTCCACAAAGCACTGGGCCCCAAGGGCCCCTTGTTGAGGTTTCCCTCTTAGAAAGTCACGATATAAATTAGTATAAGGGAACTGAGAAAATTTATAAGGGAAACAGATATATATGTATACTTGTCCATATAGGTATATATAGATAAACATATTTAACTTGGTTTAGTCCAACGTTTCCTAGCCTTCTATGTTGGTCAATTATTTTAAGTTAGCAGAAGATAATAAAAAAAAAAGAAGCACTATAAATAAAATATACATATTCTTACTGCCAGAGAGTAATCTTGACCTGTTCTTGCCATCCAGGAGCTCAGTGTAACTTTTGTGTGGAGGCAGAGCCTGGCTCAGAGAGCTCGAGGTCCCCGGGTCTCTCGTTCCCACCACTCCCTTCTCCACGAGGCTGTCAAAACCTCCTTTCGAAACAGGGGTCAGAGCTTCCAACTCTCCTTTACCTACCAGCCTCTCGCTCCCACTGCCTCCTGATGCTCACTTGGAAATCTAGGCCGACTGGTGGAGTAAGCACACTGGTGTAATGAATACACGCACCAGCCGTGGGTCCCTGCGACGTCATTTCAGTGCACAGACACGGTCACCTTCACTAGGCTTTAGAACTCATCCAGTTCAGTTTTATACACGATGAAACTGAGGTCTAAAGAGAAAACCGTTTTTGCCCAGGGTCACGTAACTAGCCAATGGCAAGACTGAAAAAGTGATATATCTTGATTCCCAGCCCTTCTGCTTTCAAAGCCACCGGGCTGCCCCCTGGCCTCGCTGTACCACTCCTCTCAGCCCATCTGTTTCTCTCCTGATTTTACTTGTCGCTTGGCCCAGCACTGACCTCGCCATCCTGTCTGCTCTCATCCATGTCTGCTTCGTCCAGGTCAGTCTCAAACTCCGTGCCCCGGTCGACAACATCCACGCCGGCCTGTGCCCTGGGCTTCTCATTCTCCCACTTGGCAAAGCCTTTGCCCTTTGCTGCTTTGTCATGGAACTTGGATTTCATTTTGGGGAAGGTGTGGGACCCTGAGTCCCCCCAGCCAGCCTCTGACCATATGGGCTCGGTCTGGGTGGCCTGGCTGGTGGTGGCCCGCTGCAGCCTCACGGAGATCTTGCGGGAGGAGCCTGTAACCAGCGTGATGGCTCTGCTGTCCAGGTCTTGGTGTCCAGCAGTGACGCCAGGGAACTCGAACACCTCATCCTGCGCTGGAAGGGAAAAGATGATTCTATCATTTGGCATCTGACTGCTTCATAGCAAACCATCAAAGTTGGTGCAAACAACAGGAGTCTGACAGGCAAGGTCCCAGAGCAACAGGCCAGAGGCAGAATGAACTGGCTGCAGGTGAGTTGCATGTTAGTGACACCTCAAAGCAGAGAGAAGTGAGGGGACCTCAAGGCTGTAGCCGCTGCTGCTCACCCAGAAGAATGCCCTGGTGGTTAGTGACTCTGCCCAGGTTTAGATCCCGAACTCAGCCAGGGCCCAGGTGTGGGAAGGTGAGCAGAGAGAAATGACGATCTATTGGGAGGAAAGCAGAGGACATTACCTGGGGGCAAGGAGGGGCTTCCAGGCAGCGACCCGTGACCACTGCTCAAGGAGGGAGCCCGGGCAAATCTCCTGCAGGCCAGAACCAGGAGGTCTTTGCACTGCTTGTGGCAATTGGCTCCACAGTCTGAAAAATCCCAAAGAATCACAGATGATTAGTGAGAGGCAAGCGCCTCTGGTGCTCACTGGGCATCCGGGGCTGCGCTTGAGCTGGTCCCCCCACCCCACCCCCTGTATTCTGTGTTGAATTGAATCCCAGAGCCCGGCTCAGGCCCACAGGGTGTGTCCAGAGGCTGGAAAGGGGCCAGTGGGACTCTTGCCTTCCTGCAATTCCTCAAGTTCTCTCGTATTTGTTCAGCTTCTTCTACACAATTCATTGACCTGCTGGGGAGCCACCAAGCAGGGGCTGAGCTGAGTGGGGAGCTGCCCTGGCCCCAAACTAAATGCAAGTCACATGGGCCTGGGGTTTTTCTCAGGCAAGACGGATTCCTGACAAAGGGGCCCCTGAGCCAGAATGAGAGCAAGAAGCCTCAGTTTCTAGGTCTCCCCCCTCGGGACCAGCTGCGGACGCTGACCATTTACAGCTAGGTGGCCCTCCATTCAGCCTCTGTCTGCATTTTTTATTCTTCATTTCCCAAAAGCTTTTCCAGGGCAAGCGATTATATCTTCCGCCTCCTTTCTTTGCATAGAAACTAAAAAGGTAGTGGGCATATGCTCAATAAATATGATCCAGATTTGACTGTGGCTTTGAGACGGCAGGCAGCAGGTTCTGTGACGTTTCCCATTAGGATGCTTTAGTTAAGAAAGTAGAACATGAATTGCTACTCGGTGTAGAAAATTTTGGCCACTTTGGAAGGTAGCCACACAATTGTTTCATCTGAAGTCCTACGTTTCCCTGAGATTCACTGAGCAGATACGATCATTTTAAAGAGTATATTTCTCTCTCACCATCAGAGGACCTAAGGATTTCCAATATCTATTCCCCCCCAGATGGCCTTGTTTCAAATGGTCTTGTAATGACATCACAGAAAGGTCACGTTGTAATGAATGTTCAGGTGATTTCGTATTTTCACTCTCTCTGCCTTTAAGAGAAAATACCATATGTGCAAAGAGGATCCAAGGGTTTAACCGATACTATCTTCATAAAAGTGTGCGTGTGTGTGTGTGTGCGCGTGTGAGTGTGTGTGTGTGTGTCCTTAAGATACAAGGGGCAGAAATCAGGATAAAACTAATGGGCAGTAAGATACTGCAGTGTCTTCGCTGCCTGAAGGTAAAAATCCAAGTTAGACGAAGACACTGATACAAAGAGCTAAAGGGAAGAATTTCGTTTTGAGCCCTAAAATGTGGCCCCCACTGAGGGTCAGGAAATCATTGTGTTCATGCGAAATGAGGGCCAACTGCTGAGAGGTGGCTGGAGGAAAAACGCATCACACGGGACCAATATTAACCCGAAGGGCGCCTGTGATTGGGATGTTTCCTCCTGTAGCTTTGCGGTGGGCAGTTAGGCACGAGCGGAGCAAGGCCAGGTGCCGAAGGTCCCCAGAGTGGAAAGCCCTGGGTGCCTAGCAGGGCAACAGGAGGGTGGGACCTCGCCCCCAGGGCGACCTCTCCTCCCCTAGCATGTCAGTGGCCATGCTGCTTGGACCCCTGACCTTTCCTCCCTAGAGATAACATCTAGGCCTCAGCTGTATTTCAGCTCCAGGCCCAGAAAAGCAGCAAAACCAGATGAGCAAGACCACCCCACGGCTGCCCTCAGGACCAGCTGCACTGGATAATATCCCCCTGTCCTGGCCAGTGGGGACCCAACCCCGAAAGGACACACCTGGAAAGCTGCTGAATATTCTCTTGAGATCTTCCCCTGGGACCTCCCCTAAAATCTCCACCCTTAAAACCCTTAGGATAGAGGACCCTAGGGGAGTGGCTCGCCTCTTTCCCTTCTCCTTCCCTTCCCTCTCCTCCAGGCGAGTCACCTTTACCTTCCTCACCCCCAAGCTCCAAGGGCCCTTCCTTTGCCTTTATAACAGTTTCCTAAGCCCATTTCTTCTACAGATTACTTCTTCTAACTCTGTAATGTAATAAATAAATGTTCTCTTACAGTTTAAGTCATGGCTCTGAATTCTTTCCTAGCCAGAACTCAAGTACCGGGGTTGCTGAACCCAGATAGGGTCTGACCCCACCGGTTTAACACCCAGTGCCGTTCCCACTGCCACCAACAGTTTTATCATATTTTTCAAGAGCATGATCACATTCTTAAAAGAACCAGTATAAAGTGCCTGCATAAAACATTCAGCAATTTCTCAAATCAAATATCAGCAATGTGTCATGAGCCTATGTGAACAAGCAGCAACACAGGCCTAGCTGCCTAGTACTTGGCATGTGCATGGCATTCGTCACATGCATTTATTCAGTTGTTATAAATTTTCATTAAATGGGGGAGCTATATGAATGAATTCATCGAAAGGGACAAGCTTTCTCTTATGTCTCACCATCGCCTGTGATTCAGTAGAGAAAGGAATAGCTGCGACGTGAGAGTGGGAAGCACTGCACGTGTATTGCGTATGGGTGTCCCCTGAGAGAGAAAGTTCTTCCAGTGCAGCCCGGGAGTGAGGCCTGTCCCACCTCGGCATCCCCACCTCATCTGTGTGCCGAGGATTCTGAGCTGACAGCTCCTAAGATGAGGGCTAGATGCAGGCAGCTGATGGAGGGGGTCTGCCCCCTTCTAACAAGCTTTAAAACTCCGGCCTGGGCTCTCCAGGCCTCCAGGGAGCGCTTGCCGAGACACTCTGCCCCTGCATGCAGTTCCCGTGGCCCCAAAGCCCCAAGTCCTCCAGGGTGCCAAGGGCTTTGGCGATCTCATCAGACAAATTGGATTCCTATCCCAAATGTCACGTTAAAGACGTTTTAACCCAGTCGCATTTATTTACCTTTGCATTTGTATCCTTGCTTGATTATGCCCCAGAGCTGTAACAAAAGACAAAGGGATGTCAGGGAATCTGAAGAAAAATCTGGAAAGAAAACAAGGCCACGAAGAAGGAAGTCCTGGGAAGCGAGATGACCAGTGGAGCACAAACAGGATGTAGCTGCTCCCGACACCCTTCCTGCCAGATAGGGGAACCTCCCCCAGCCCGCCGCCGGGTGACAACAGGAATCCTGCTTCCCTTTTCCACCTGGGAGCCAAGAGCCAGCTGGGTGGGGAACTGCTGGGTGCATTTACGGGACCTCAGCATCTGCGCTCTCAGCACAATTTAGGGGGGAGACTTTGTCTTGGGCTTTCATGATATTCACGCTGCTCTTGGTGCCCCCCTGCAGGAACGAAGCCACCTAAGCGGCGCCCATCCCACTAACGCATTTCTGTTTTCTGGGTTATTTTCTGAGTAACGCCAGTGCTTTGAAAGAACCCAGAAGAGGAAAGCATCCGGTGTGCATTCGTGTATTTACTTCCCGCATTTGCTCAGCGTTTGCCTGTGCCAGGGCTCGGGCGAGGGCACAGAGGAGGCTCAGACTCTGCCAGCCAAGTAGGAAGTGGGTGTGGGCAGTGCCACATGTCCCCGGGGAGACGTGAGGGCGCACAGTTCAACCGGGAGGCATCTGCCCGCGTGGTTCCGGGGCACATCCCGGCGGCCGTGTCCTTGCCCTCCTGACACACTGGGAACTTGGTGGAAAAGGGACCTTCCTCTGTTCTTCCTCATGCCTTTCAGAGCACTCGCACGTGGGTCTCGTGGGTCTCGGACACCAGGCACACACCGTGGGGCGAGGTAAGTGGGCTGAGCTTAAGCTGGAGAAGCTCACCCCGAACCTTTTCCTGGTTAGGCCAGGGGACTGACACCTACTTCATAAAATAATGTTGAAAGCAGCAGGGCTGGTGGCCTCCGGGGCTGATGGGGGTGTCATATGCCCCCGCGACAAGAATAAGTTGCCACCAATGTGAAGTGACTCAAGGGCATTATAAAGGCTGCTTCTTACCCTCCTTCTGACAAGAACAATCCTCCCAGTGGACAGTGATTCCTTTGAGCCTTAGCAGCATTATTTCATCAACAATAAATTTTAAAAAGTTATCTGGTTTTCCAGAATACACTATTACGATGAAAATGCTTCCTGGAACAAGGCGAGGTTCTACCTTGGGGACAAGAAGGGTTATTAAGGCAGTTGACTGGAAGCAAGGCCTCAGGGCCTAGGATGGCCGAGGAGGGCAGGCAGGAGACAATAGGCAAAGGAAGTGGGTGGTCAGGCATGACCTCACCTCAGGGCATCGTGGGCTTCTTTTTTATAATAGGTAAGTGTGATGATCCAGGAAATTAAGTTGCAAGGTCCTGTGTCTGGGAAACTTTGTAGCAGTAAGAAACTGTTTCCTCACCGAGCCCTTGGTAATAGTCGTAACAATGACAACAATGATATCTAAGGTGTACTGAGCTCTTGCTATGGGAAAAGCACAGTTTTAAGCTCGTTGTGTGTATTAGCTCATTTAATGTTCACAGTATCCTTCTGGGGGAGGAAATCATGACTTCCTCATTTTCACAGATGAGACTGAGCCACAGAGCGTGGGGGAAATCACTTGGCCAGGTCTCAGAGCGTGTACGTAGGAAAGGACAGTGTGCTACTTGAGAGAAAGACAGGGAGGCGCTGCTCCCGGGTGTCCTGGGTGTGAGCAAAAGCCACTGATTTGGGACAAGAAAGGAGACAGTTTAGGCAGCATCCTAGTATCTGGATATGGCACATGATTCGCACAGCTGCAGGAACTGCTGAAAAAGATGTAGTCAAGCCCGAGTCCTCCCGGGAGGGGAAGTCGGGGCATTGCTCGCGAAGGCTTGCTCAATAACTAGGGGGCCCTGGGTCGGCGTGCCAGCCCGGGACGGCAGGGGGGCCTCATGTGGACGTGTGTGTAGGAGTACTTCCCACGGTCCTCTGCTTGGAGGCCTCGGGGCTGCTGTAACACTTGGAGGATTGATTGTGTGTGAGGAGCACTGGACCGGGAGTCAGGAGACCTGGAGATGAGTCACAGACCTGCTGCTAAAGATCCATGTGACCTTAGGGAAGTCACTTTACTTCTCAAGACCCTGAAATAAGGGAATTAGCAAACCTCTTTCAGTTCTGGAATTCTTGTTTTAAAATAAGTGTCTTTTAAGTAGTGTCTGTCTGTCTTCCTTACCCTTAAAATGGAATTTATTTCAAAAGCCAGTAGTCCAGTCACTGATAAATGCTTCCTTGCATCCCCCTACGATGCCTCTCGATATATCTAGAGGGTTTTATTTATTTAAAATATGTTTTTATTGATTTTAGAGAGAGAGGAAGGGAGAGGGAGAGAGAGAAACATTGATCGGCTGCCTCCTGCATGCCCCCTACTTGGGATAAACCCACAACCCGGGCATGTGCCCTGACATGGAATAGAACTGGCAACCTTTTGGTGCATGGTCTCAACCAACTGAGCCACCAGCCAGGGCAAGAGTTATATTTATAAATCCCTTTGAAACCAATGGACTTTTAAAAATGTTTGTGAGTAAAGATCAAATCAAATTGTACCAATGATTAAATATATTTTGAAAAATAAAAAAGGGCTATTAAAATTTTAAGAGAGTTAATTTCCATTAAACTCCAAAAGTATGAAGGAACACTAATATATATATATATATATATATATATATACACACACACACACACACACACACACACACACACATATATATATATATTTACCCTGAGCTATGTGACATGCCATATGTCTGATATCATTTAATCATCATAACAACATAACAGGTAAGTCTTAACCCCTTTACAGATAGGAAGGCAGAGAGGCAGTCAATAACTCGGTCAAGAACAGAGTTAATATAAGGGACAGAACTGGGATTCAAAGCCAGACTCCAAGTCCAGAGCTTTCTAACTCATCGCAGCTGCACCAACAACCTAGTGCCGGCAAATCTGCTCTGAGGAGTTGGGGGAGGAGTGTGGATGCTCCCCAGAAACACTACCTTGTTGCTTTTCTAGAACAGGTGCCTCCATGAAAGGGAGAGACATCCAGAAGGACTGGAGAGCAGAGATAAGCTCCTGAGACTTGGTAAGGGCCTTCCAACTCTCACACCACACCGAAAGACAGATATCTCAGCCTGACTTCTGGCGGAGCTGTGCGGTGGCCTCACAGGTTCACTGGGCCCCACTCCGCAGCAGAGAGCTACACATGGCCTCATCCCATTGCAGCATTTTTCAGGCCTAGATACATGCTAAAATTCCCATCGGAAGAGAGGAACATGAAAAAGAAGACATACTGATTTTATGATAAAGTGGTCTGGTAATACCACCTCAGTGGAGAAGCTGATAGGTTAAGCTCTCCTTCCCTGCGGAGGGCGAGGAGAGTGGTTAGGCTGGCCTTGCCCCTTGACCACATCAGCTGCTGTGACCACGTGGGGCCACCTTGGAGGTCACCACTGCCTCTCATTTACCCACTGTCAGAGGGGCGTGTGCTTAAACCCAACTCCTGCCTTCGGGGAGGAGCTAGTTCTTCAAGAACGGGATGGGGAGAGTGTAATTTTAGTAGTAGCCTGTACTATCGGCTGTGGATTCAATGTGGGCCTGCAGTGGGACGTGACTGCTGAACAAGCCAACAAAACTGAGCTCTGGCGTCTGGTACAGGAGCAAGAGTCAGGTTCACCTGGCCGCTGGGCCACCCTCACCTAGCGTACCACAGTTTCCATCTTATTATAATTTGGGTATCACCGGGAAGATGTCCAGGGCCCAAGAGCCTTTGTTTAATACCAGCCCCAAACTGACCTTAGTTGCCAAGGAATTACCAAATGCGGGGAGACACACCGGATCCTGCTCTGGCCACTACCGGCTGTGCGTCCTGGGAAACCTGGGCTATCCTCTGTGACCTCTCACTGTCTTCACAGGCAAATGGGGAGAGGAAAAGGCCCATGTCGCAGCTAGTCATGAGGGTCACTTACACCAACGTCTGGGAAGCATTTCATCACTGTCAGGCGCCAGGTAAATGGTGTATCCATCTTCTCTCCAAAACTATGATTTTTTCTTTTGGAGCCACAAACTACTGAGCCCGGCCGCGATGGGTTTCTAGTGACTGACACCACATGCACTAAGAACTAGGAGCAACTGGCTAAGATGAATACTCCTCTTAATTGCGGCGCTTATGAGGATCAGTGAGGAGTGCCAGGGCTCACTGGGTGGCACGTTTCCCTGGCAGGGGCTGAAGAGAGAAACTGCTCACTCTCGTTAGCGGCTCACCAGCCTTCCCCGCCGTGGCCAGCCCTGCATTCCTAGAAAGAACATAACGCAACCTGCAGATCTTGCTTTGGTCTTTAATTTACTGTTGAATTCGGGGAGCCGTCCTGTTTTCTTCTGGCCTAAGGCGGCCAGCGGATTCTGTTCGGTGTATCACTGCCCTACCTTCCCGGGAGGCGGCACAAATACCGACAGACAGGAGAGGAAACAATGGAAGACGGACTTACAAATCCTGCACAGTGTTCGCAGAAGGTTGGCTTGAGATAGGTCATCTCCTGAAAATTGTGGACAAATCCTGGTCCCATTTTACAGTGTAGTTGGGACTTGGCTCTCAGGAAGTAAGCCATCATTTCATCTTTACTAATGAGGCCGTCCCTGTGAAGAGAATCCAAGAAGGGAGGGGTCTCTGAATACCTGATGGCAAGGTGGCTGCCACACTTTAATCGTTTGCCCCCCAAACCTTTGTGGCCAAAACCAGTGAGGGAGGGGCACTGCCCCATTACACCTGGAAGGGGGAGAGGACCTCCCGTAGGCTCGAAGCGCCACAGGCTGGCTCATTCGGCAGCAGGGGTGCGTGTGTCTGTGTGTGGGTGTGTGTCTGTGTGTGTCTGTGTGTGGGTGTGTGTGTGTGTGTCTGTGTCTGTGTGTAGA